CCAAATCAAGCATTCAAATATCAATCTATCAGGAAAAAAGACGTTCTTATCTCACAATATTCACAAAGTGACAAAAAAAGCTTTGGGTGGAGAAGAAAATCTGGGTGAGAGAGAGGGTTTGGGGTTTGAGGTGGGGCTGGGGTAGTGGAGAAGACAATTTGGGGTGGAGGTGTGCGTATCCTTTTCTTTTTATTAAAAGTGGTTATTTTTTTTAATTATTTAGTTAAAGAAATGCCACATGTCAATGAGTCATTGGTAGTTTTTTTTCTACTCAAAATTCATCATTTAATAATTATTTTTTCTATATATGCCACATGTCTTTATTTAATTCGTCACTTTGATACGTCATCAGCGAGGGTGTTACACACACCTTACAAATTTGACAGATTGTCGAAAAAGTGTCAAAATGACACAGTTGGACATGACATGAGAATCCTAAAATGAACAAAGCCTAGTTAAAGTGTCTAAGTGAAAATTAATGCCAACTTTAGGTGGCCACCGGTGATTAGGCCATTTATTTATTGATAGTTATACTGTTATATACAGTATTGCTCCAATCATTGATAACATAAAGATGGATATGGGGTTATTATTATTTTAGTACTCCAAAACAAATATATATTGAATAATACTTTAGATATATTTATAGATAAATAGATACCAATAATCTTGTCTCCTTAAGGCCCTACAAAAGGAATTTCAAACAAATTTTTGTATATGATATAAAGCAAACGATTTAGATATGCACCTTATCATGTATACATAAAACACTTCTGACCTAACTATAAATGGCATAAAAAAGTCATACGTGAATCAAAAACTTTTAACGGTTTAATAATTAGGAAAATCACCTAATGGAGTAAACATATGTTATGTATTTATTAATATAATGGAAGTTTTAAAAAAAATTAGTTTGAGTTTTATTTAATTTGTTTTGTATTTATTTGCTTGAAATTATATTGATTTGCTTTATATCAATATTTTTGGTTGCTCTGTATTTGTTGTATTTGTCTGGGGAAGGTAGAGTGCACATATATCTTATTACTATCCTATGACGATAGAGAGACTATTTTCAAGAGACTCTCGACTCTAGTGTGTAATAAACAAGTAATAGAAGAAGAAAGTATAACAGTAAAATAAGAAAAACAATGTACAGTCGATAAAAGAATCAATAACAACAATAAAAATAGTATAGTAATCGAAATTGAATAAACAACATAAGACGGTAGACACCAAAAACAAGAACTACAAGTATACGACTAGTACTACGATAGGTAATTACAAGCCTAAACCCTTGCAGGTAAGACAACACACTATTCCTACTAACCTTCTACCCTAATACGAGATCTCCACTCCATCCTATCTAGAGTCATGTCCTCGATAATATGAAGTTGCGGCATGTCCCATCTAATTACCTCTCGCCAATACTTTTTCAGCCTACCTCTACCCTTTGCGGTACCTCTACACAACCTCTCACGCCTCTTCACTGGGGCGTCTACACACCTCTTCTTTGCAAGTCCAATTCATCGAAGTCTTGCTTTCCTCATCTTATCTGTTGCCGAAGTAACTTTTACCTATTTTAAATTTATACATTATACAAATGTCACTAAAAATAAAATGTTACTAACTAAAAAATTTCACTTTAGAGATTTGGACATTTGAAACTTCTAATTAAAGTAGTGTGATGTTTAAATTAATTTAATCACATCTTAACTAATTCTACTAAATGTCATTTTCACCTGCAACAATCAACATGTTGTCATAACCACAATTACTAAAGGTATGTATTGTGATATTCAATCTCCAACTTTTAAAATATAACAAATTAAATGTCGTGATCTTTTAAAAGGTCTAAATTATCAAATTTAAATTTGACAATTGTCTCTTGATAAGGATATGTATTATTAGGAGAAATGTGTTGACGGGCGATGACAGGAAAAAGATATTTTTTAGCATCAAAAATCATTTTCGTCCCTTTGCTTATACTCTGTCTCAGAATAAATATTATCTTAATAAAAATTATATTCATTAAAAAATTAACAAATATAATATAATTTATTTAAATTAATTATATTTAAGAAATATCTCTTAAAAGTTAAATACTATTCAAGAGAGAATATAAGAGTACAATTAAAAAAAAATTACTTTATTAATTATCTTGAATTTCTAAGATAATTTAATTTTAAAATATAATTTTTATTTAAACAACATCTATTTTGAAACGGAAGAATAATAGTATGATAATAGTAATCCCAGCAAAGAGACATTAAAGACAAGAAGGTGACCAACAAGGATTGTGATGGAGTAGTAAATATATTTTTATTCTTAATTAAGAGGTTTTGAGTTTGAGTCCCCTTAGATATAGAGTTGCCATTATTAAAAATTGTGTGTTATCTCCAAATGTAAGACTTTTCGACGCGCATTCAAATTTAGTCGAACATCGATATTGGACACTGCTATAGGCCCTATCTACTCATTGACAGTCACTTTGCTCCTGATTTTCAATCATTCATCATTGATCAGCTCACTCTCCATTTTTAGAAATATTTTAAGATGCGTTTTTTCCATTTCATTTTATCTGAGTTAGTATTTTGACATAGAATTTAAGGAATAACAAAAGAAATATTTTGAAATTCATGATCGAAAGTAATAGATGTTTGAGTGACTATAAATTTGAACATTTTAAAGTAATATTGTTAGAGTACTTAATATAGAAATATGCCAATTTTTTGAGATCGATTAAAATAAAAAGTAAGTCATGAAAACTGGGAGTAGGAAAATATTTTTTTTTTTACTATATTGACAAGAAGAACGGTAAATTATAATCAACGTCATATAATTTTAATTATTTGAAATTTAAATTTTGGAACGTCCATCTCACTGGATACGTAGGTATCAAAATTTTATCGATCTTTAGATAAAATTTTAGGGAAATTTTTTAAAAGAGCAATATTTTAGCTTTTAGTGGAACTTCTTAGCAATAGTTTCATTATTTATTGAAAATGTCATTATTTTAGTTTGTTAAGGGATTAGTTATGTATTTATTTTATTTTGATTAATTTGAAAGAATACAAATAATTAATAACAGAACAGAGAAAATCATGGAACAAAAAAATCAAAAGAGGTAAAAAAGATTTTAAATACAAATCAGTTACGTTTTGAAAAAAGCATAAATAGCCATCTTTTCGTCGAGCGTTTTTTTGCTTTCTTCTTAAGAACATAAAAAAATAATTAAAATAAGATGAATTAAAATTGCTAATTTTCCCAAGATTTTATAAGATGAGTTCAATGCATCTCCAAACTTTTAAGGTTTGTTAAAACAAAAAAAATAGAGGCTATTTTATCGTAATTTTAGCCCATGCCACAAAAATAGAGATATTTTCTTTGAAGAGCCATATAGAATATTTTATGTATCTCATAAAATTTTAGATATTTATAAAGAGATATTTATAAAGAGATTAAGCTATCACATTTCGAATATTTCATAAAATCTTAGATATTTATAAAGAGATCAAAATATTACATTTCAAATATCTGATAAAATATTGAGTATATGTAACAAGATCAAGATATCGCATCTCGAATATTTCATAAAATTCTCGGTACTCCAAAGAAAAACTAAGACAACATAAATATTGTTGTTCTCAGAGCATACGTAGCCTATAAATTTTGACAATCGAATATATAGGTCCATGTCATCTTAAATTCGAGAAACACGCTATTAACAACATGAAAAATATTTAGAAAAAAATAGTAACAAAGAAACAAAACAAACTATAACCAAAAAAAAATAATTGTAATTACAAATTTACATTAATAAATCTTTTAATCTAACCTAATTTAATTTAAAAAATCAACATACTTGACTTGTAATAAATAAAAATATCAAGACCAGAACAAATAGGAAGAATTATCGAGTTTTTGGCCAAAATCATCCTTAAACTATACCCCAAATTTAAGCTACATCCTTAAAGTATCATTCTTAGTCGAAAACATCCTTCAAGTATATAAAAGTGAACAATTTTCATCCTTCTACTTGAATTTTATCAAAAAACTAACACATCCCACAAAAATCAAGTCATCCCTTCGTAATTATTATTCTTAGATATGCCAAAAATACTATCGTGAACTTTTTCGGTAATTAAGTTTAGCATTATGCAAATCTTTTAATTTGATAAAAAAAAAATTATTTTTCATGTAAGTCGATATTAAAAATATTATTAGTTGAAATATATTTCTTTTCAATTGAATATGCTAGAAGCTGAAGTCTCCAACAATATTTTGATCACTTCAATATCAGATGGGCCCAAAAATTTATTGATCTGAATATAGTTTGGCTTTGAAAAAGGTAAAGATAATAAAGCTCCAACTTCTTTCCGTTACTAAATGAGAAAAAGAGCATATCATATATCCTCACACCTTCCAAACATTTTTTGTTTCAATAAGCAATGGTGTCTAAGATTTTTAATATTTTTTTTCAAGAACTTCATATGGGAGGTAATGAAATTATGCAGGAAAACTTTTGTTAATAGTCATGTGAACTGCTTGTGTTTTTGTAGGATCCCTTAGTTTTTAGACGATATCTAAGAGAATGATGGAAATTGTTAACTTTTAAATACTTAGAGGATGTTTTTTGCCTAAAAAAATATTTTAAGGATGTAGTTTAAGTTTGGGGTATAGTTTAAGGATGTTTTTGGCCAAAAACTCAAGAATTATCTAATATTTTTGTCAGTATTGAAATTTAAAGTCGAAATCTCATGAGTCTCAACTACTTACTATTAATATTTTTATAAGTAAGTAATATAAATAAATTAGATTAGAATAGATAGGAAGAATTATCTAATATTTTTTGTCCGTATTAAAATTTAAAGTCGAAAACCTCATGACTCCCAAACTACTTACTATTAATATTTTTTTATAATAATATAAATATATTAATAATATTTCGAGCTAGCTAAGTCGGTAGCAAGTCAAAATTAAAACACAGATATTATAGCAAGTCAAAAACTACTAAAACAATTCTCACAACAGCAACTCAAAACGAGTTCATATAAAAGAAGAAAAAATATTTAATTGAATTAAATCACAAGATGAACTACTGCGTTGTTCCTGATTTCAAAATGGATGATGATTATTCAGATATTGCTTCTGCTATTTTCAACATATCGAAGAAATCCACAATGTAAGTTTTACATCTAAGTTTTGTTGTTATTTAATTTATAATAAATACTGATAGTGAAACACCATGAACAACAAAATTTGTAAGCACATAGTGGAAGTTTAATTTGTATATGTGAGTTGATTTTTCTTCGTTCATTTTCGATACTGATCGTGAAACGCCATGAGCAACAGAATTAGTAAGCCCATAGTGTAAGTTCAGTTTTATTGTTTAATTTGTATGTCTGTTGATTTTTCTTCGTTCATTTTCAATACTGATTGTGATGTTAAGCTCATAGTGTAAGTTTTACACCTAATTTTTGTTGTTGTTGTTGATTTTTCGATACTAGCAGCATGTTGAGATTCGAAATTTGAAGTGAAATTTTTTATTTGTGTTCTTAGTTTTTTTTTTTTGGATTATTGCAGAGCAGATGAAGAAATCATGGAGCTAGTATGGCAAAATGGTCAAGTAATTATGCAAAGCCAAAATCAAAGATCTGTAAGGAAATCTAACCTTTTTTCCGAGCAATCGGCCGTAGAAGAAACGGTAGCAGCTTCAGCTCCACTGTATATGCAAGAGGATGAAATGAACTCATGGCTTCAATCTCCACTTGATGATTCCTCCTTCGATGATTTTCTAAATACTACATCGAGTTGCGCCGCCGTGACCTCCGCCGCTGCACCGCCGGGAGAAATTGGTACTTCGACTGTAGAGATCCGTCCGCCTCTGGTTTCGCCGTCTTCACGGCCGGTTATACCTCAATTGAGATGTACAGATGGTGAATTTCCACACCGATTACAGAATTTTGGGCATTTTTCACGGTTGCCTGAGGGAGCAATTTTACGAAATGGTAATACATCAAGTTCTCGCCACTCAATTAGGACATCGACGATTGTGGATTCAAACGAGACTCCGGTAGTAGCAGGACCGGAATATATGATTTCACGCGTATCAGATGATGTACCACTAGCTTCCGCCGTGAATGTCAGAGGTGTGGAAATGACGGCGACGGCGACAACAAGCGGCGATAGGGAAGTGACGACGGCATGCGAGTTGACATTGACAGCTTCTACAAGTGGCTCAGGAGGTAGTGTAAGCGCCAGAACAGAACCGCCACAGCCGTCGCATAAGGAGGTGGATACGGCGGCGGAGGATCGGAAACGGAAAAGTAGAGAATCGGACGACAATGAAGGTCAAAGTGAGGTGAGTAAGCAAATTAGCTTCCGTTTACTACTACGTAAACAAGGATTAACTAATAATTTTTTGTTTTAATTATTTTTTTGATTTTTATAATTTCATTGATTTTATGAACTTATATATGTCACATAATAAAAAAAAAAATTGGATTATAGGGGGAGTAGTATATTGTTAGCTCTAATTTCTTTCTAAGTGAATAATAAGGGTATGAAAAAATAATGCCCATGCATTTAACATTTCGCAATTAGGGAGCAATAACAATATAATAATTTTGAGATAAATATATGATTATGTTATTCAGTGTTTAATCAGTGGTATTAGATAATTTTTAGATTATTTATTCCATTATTTCTATTATAATAATGAGAAGTTTTTTAAATATACATAAACCATAATGAAATAATTTAGAATAAAATGTATCACGATCTTATTTTTATATTTATATAGATTATTTTCAATAGAACTTCGAATTAAAAATAAATATTTGAGTTGGCAAGAAGAACGCCACCTCACCCTCATAGTAATGCCAAATGAGTCGTTATGAAAGTGTCTTTCTGCACCACAAATTACTTGCACGTATTTTCATGATGATAGTAAGGAGGTCGAGTCATCTGCTTTGTAGTCAGAGTCTCAAAGTACAAATTGTAAAGTCCTCCCAATTCATTGGCTACTCTTTTATCTTCAAAAATTATTATACTCTTTTTGTATAATATATGAATATATCTTTTAATTTGAATTTATCTGATTTAAATATGTACTTAAATTTTTATAAAATTGAAAAAGCAGACACATATGTTTTATGTGACATAATTATGCTATTTAGAATGAATGTATTTATTTGTTCAATTTTATATAAGTTTAGGTATCTTACTTGTGCACACTCAAAGTTGAAGGGTGTAGATGTCAGATGAAGCCAAGTTAAATAAGTAACATATTTCTGTTTTATGTCTTGGTATTAAATATAAAAACGTGTTATAATTTTCGAGACAGACTAAAATGGAAAGTAAGTAAGTTATATAAACTGAAATAGAGGAAGTAGTAAACTACAACAACAACATACTCAATCTAATTAATAGAATATGTGTATTACCCTATTTTGATTGGATGGATAAATGATTTTCGATACACCTTTGGCTCAAAAGGAATTGGTATGATAAACTACTTCATCTGTTTCACTTTATAAATATGTGTATTAATTTGAACAAATACAAAAAAAATTTAATTTAAGATTAAATATTTGTATGATCAAACAAAATGAAAGAGAGAGAGAGAAACAAATAACTTCTTTTACTCATATTTTATGTAAGAGTTTTTTGGTTTATGTGTGAATTGTCATAAAGATTCATCTTCTTTTTCTTTTTTTGATAGATAGTTAAGTTCTAGTTGTGCTAGTAAGTTTACTTAATTAGGTCTAATGTTTGCTTGGAATATCTTGTTAGAAAATGTAGAGAATAGTAAAGGTAATTCTTTTACTAGATTGAGACAAGCTTAAATGGCGTGACATAGATTTAGCCGAACTTAATTTGCTTCGGATTGAAGCATACTAGTAGTTTGTTGTTGTAAGTACTGATTAAGATATTTCTTCTCTATGTTTGCCTCCCTAATATCCTAGGATGTTGAATATGAGTTTGCTGATACAAGGAAGCAAGTAAGAAGTTCTACATCGGCAAAGAAATCTCGTGCAGCAGAAGTCCATAATCTTTCTGAAAGGGTATATACTATTCTCAGTTTGAAGGTTTTGATGGTTCAAGTGTTGTGATTTTAATGTCTGTTTACTCAATATTTGAGTGTATTCAATAATGCAGAAACGCCGAGATAGAATAAATGAGAAGATGAAGGCTCTACAAGAACTCATACCGCACTGCAACAAGGTTTTAACATCATCTTTGAATTGTTTTGTCCATTGTTCATTTCACATTTTAAGTTTAATTTCTCTTTTATCAACTAATTTCAGTCAGACAAAGCTTCAATGCTGGATGAAGCTATTGAGTACCTTAAATCATTGCAATTGCAAGTACAGGTATACTTGTTAACATTCTTTTTTGTCCCCTTAGTTGTTTCATGTGTCTTTAGATACTAGTCTCTGGGCACGCGCGTTACGCGTGTTTTCCATATTAATGATATTTTAAAAAAATACATACATCTTTAGTTTTGAAAATAAATGTAGCAAAAATTTGCAACTAAGATTATTTTTGAAGAATTAACATAAATAGTTGTTCATCCAATTGATTAAACTATAAAAAAAAAAATCGGTGAGTATATAATATATTATATATGTATAATTCATTTGTAATGTGTACGATCATGTGTAATCAATATATAATATATGTATATATATATATATATATATGCCGGCTAGAAAAAGTAATAGTAAATCTACCCGACTATTTAAGTGAAGATACCTATGTTTTGTGGTAGCTAAAATAGTTTTTATTCAATGATATCATATCAAAATAAAAGAAAATTTTCCTTTTAAAGTTTGATACTATATTTATATATGACGCGGATACTCCTAATTCTTTCTGTAAAATGAATCAGTAAATTCAAATATGAAGATACATATGAAGACACATTATAGAATATTCAATACGAATCACATGATGCCATGAAGGCATATAACCTGTATATCCAACTACTATATCAACAATAACAAACAAATTAAGATGAATGTCAGAGATGTAAACTTTTAACTTGGTAGTTCCCAAACTTTCAACTTGGTAGTTCCCGCTTTTATAGTAAAATACTATAAGATATCATTTTACAACTCCCTCTAAATACACAAATAACGTCGCATTTATCTATAGCCGTAAACAATTCTAATTACAAGACATTATAAAAATAAATCAATTAATGAAAATTCTAAAATCAGTCTTCCAAAGAAACCAACTTCCTCCTTCTCATAGCTCATGAATTTCTGCTAGCACTCCATACGGAGATGGTGGTCTTCATATATCATCCAATGAATGTTGAATGTTGAATGTTGCATGTAAATTGATATGACAATTATTCAATTCCAACATGTATCAACTCTACATGTTTCTCCATCTCTTTTTTTCTTTATTTCATGCAAAAGGAAAAATTTAAAGGAAAAGAAAGAAAATGAGAAGGAAGGCCAGATTCTCAACTAAAGAAACAAAACATGAAGGAAATGGAAATCATTTGTTACCTTTATATAGTATTTTCTTTTATGTTCTTTGAAATTCCTTTTAACATAATATGTATTTATTAACCTACACTTAAATACTTAATGAACTATTCAAATTCTACTGATTGTTATATTAACAAAGATTGGTTACTAATTTAAAAGTGTTAGAATTTGATAAGTCAAGTTAAAGAAAATGAAAAGACAAATTATAGGAATTGTAAAAGTTAGGTAAAGTAATACATGTGTTAATTTAAAGCAATTAATCATGTATATGTGAATTCCTTGGATACGTTTGTCTGAGCATTAAAGTACCACTTTTCCACTTTCAAATCCCGTTCAATTCATGTAATTGAAAAATTAATTAATTAAATTTTATTTAACTTTTACTTAAAGTGCGCAAAATAATACTTTTTGATTAGATATTTAATTAAATGTTTGATTTAATTTTATTTTTTTTATATATATATATTAATTATTATTATTAATTCAATTGTCAGAGGTTAATACATATTAAATATTGTAATTATAGGTTGCATAAAAATTCGGTTATGAATACAAATATTATTAGAGAAAACTTATTGTGAATTCTAATATTTGACTAACTAAATATTTTATAACATTTTAACCTATAATAGGGGTAAAATGGTAATCCAACTTTGAAGTTTAAAGTTTCTCACTTTTAATAATATATGAATATGATATGATGAAAGTACTGAAAATTCAAAACATTTGATTTTTTTATTCAAGACTGTCTTAGACTATTTTTTTTTCCAAAGATTGCACTATTTTCTGCATATACAAGTTATTAATCTACTTAGAGAGCATGAACACAGACAGAGCTAGAATTTAGAGTTTATGGATTATGAACTTGTCTTTGAATTCATAGTCGTCATAGTTATTGGGTTTTTTAACTAAATACTTGTACATATTTAATAGATTTCCTAATTTAAATACAAGGTCTAAATAAAGTTATTGGATTTGTCTGTACCGATAACTAATACTATCCCTCTGCACCTAAGTATGAATATCATCATTTTTATCTAGTATGGTGACTATCAAGTTTTATATTGATGATTGTTTTTTTTCTTTTTGGTTTCCAATTCGGTGTCGAATATTCGCATTGGATCCCGACTAATCCGGATTCGCGTCGCGTATGCGCTCCCTACCACATATTAAAGATTGTTTTGTTGGCTTATTGTGCTATTGTGTACATAATAAGAAATTTCTATGAAAGTAGATTTTCTGAGGCACAATACAAAAAAGTCAAAAAGGCAACTATTCTAGATGTAGGACTGCGACAACTACGGCATATATCAATCCTAAGCTAGTTGAGGTCGGCTATATGAATCCTGTTTATCCATCTTGCTCTGTTGAGCCCATTTTACAGATGTGATTAGTTCTAGTTCAGTATCTGGATATTGGATATTCTCTAAATTATAAGGAGTGTAAATTACTCAGAAATACTGCATCCTTTGTCTCTATTTCACTTCTACTTTCCCAAAGAAAAAATCTATATTTCTTGTCATTTTCGTCAATACCATATTTTTGTATAATGAACATATAAGACATGCCTTTCCTATACATCAAAGACATCTATTCATATATCATATATGCTTAGCTTCCAAAATATCCTGACAAGGCATGTTGTTAGTTTTTCTATAGAAATTTCTTGAGATTAAGTAGCATTTGCCACATGCGATTTTGAAATCATTTGAGATGAGAGTTATCTTCCATCCACTACTACCCAATGCATTGGCACTTAATGCTCTTCTCGTTTGAACAATATTGTATTGGTACAATAAATGTACAATCTCTTGCGATTTTTTCTGCCTTCAACCTCTACCGGAATTTAAGCTGCACCCCGTTAACTCTCTTTCAGCTAGTTGTTGGTCCAAGCTGGCTATGATATGTCCAACACTGAAGAAATTCGATCAAGTACTGCCTCTGTTATGATACTCATTCCATTATAGTCTGTTTGAAAAAATATGGCACTTTTCTATGTGTGGAAATTTTAACTTTAGACTTTTTAGTTTATCCTTTAATTAATGAAATGTTCTTACAGCCATAGAAATGTCATGGTATGTGTAAGACAACAAGTGTTAAGGATATTTTCTGTGTCAAAAATCTTTCTTTCTTAAACAACATGCTCAGTCGAACACCGCTATACAAAATGAAATACATGGAGTGTCCTTTATTTCAGATTTATCACTTATTCCTGATCCTGCATTGTGATGTAGTAAACTAGTAATAATGTCAACCGAAATCCTGATTATAAGTTAGCGTGTGCTGCATCTTCAATTAAGCTCCTTGAAAAACGTTAAGTGGTCCGTTTAGGTTACAGTTTGATCATAGCTGCTTTACTGCAGATGATGGCCACTGGATGCAGCATGGTCCCTGTGATGTATCCTGGAATCCCGCAATACATGACAACAATGGGAATGAATATGGGCATGGGGATGAGTATGGAAATGGGCAGGAACCTGCCAATGGTTTCATATCCACCGCTAATGCCAGATCCAGCAATGCGGAATGCAGCTGCAGCAGCACAAATGGCTCCTCAATATCCTCTTCCGGCATATCATATGCCTCCGTTTCCTGCACCTGATCCATCCAGAATCCCAGTTGGGAACCAGGCAGATCCTCCGAGGCTATACTCACATGTTGGACATAATATTAATCAGCCAAGACTTGCGAATTTTAGTGATCCATATCATCAATATTTTGGTCTACAGCAGGCACAACCGATGTTACTCCAGGCAAGTCCTTGTTCTTCTCACTCTTTCTATTTATTTATAGTCTTTTCTTTTCACTTCAGGTATACGTTGTCCAAAGGAAACCAACTCTTCATCACTTCCTCTGCTTGCTTTTATGTAGATAATTGCTTAGGTAAAAAAGTTCATTCCTGCTAGACTTTTTTCGTGTCTTATCCATTGAGGGGAATGGAACTAGCACTAAATGCCACGAGAGGTGTCATATCCCCTATGTGAGCGAGTCTGTCCTACTGATCTCCTATGTTCAAAGGGAGAGGTGTCATATCTTCTCCGTTTGAAACTTGTATAGTTTTCATGGGTCTAAATGATTTTGGAATTCAGTAGCAGGTCCTGCACCTTTTAACATCTCAAGCTCGGTATTGTAACTTCAGTACCGTTCATATCCACCTAATCATGAGATACTGATGAAACCCGACTAACTTAGATTCAGGCATATTTATCTCATTGTCATGATACCTATGTTCGTGTTGAAATTTTCACCTAGAGTTTCGTCTTGCAACATAAAGCAGACTTTAAACAGTGCAAGTACCGCTAACAACAGCTTCTTTCATTGCCTTAATTTATTGCGTATTCTTCCAAAAAAAAACTTTTGACAATAGACAGTATTGAAATGCAGAATCAGGGAGTGGAACAGCCGAGCAGCAGTAAACCGAACAGCTGCATAGAAGGAAATGTAGGGAATCATCAATCTGGTAAGCATACAATTTAGATGGTCACATTTTACACATTACATTATTGTGGTTCTTGTACCAAAGTTGAAGATGAAGGAAAAAGATTTCTCAATACTGTTGGAGGCAGAAGCGGATCTAGGATTTCTAGAACGTGGATACAATGCTTTAAGGAGAACAAAATTAAGTTTTAATTGGGAATCAATCCTTGTTCTTCTAAGTAAATAATTCAATATTCAACCAAGTTCGTCATTCAACTTTTTTGGAACATGGGGTCAGCAGATAATATTAGACCAATTTTAGGAAATACAACAGCATACAAGTGTGGTTTAGGGAGGGTGGTGTGTACGTGCCACTTTACCCCTACCTTGTGAAGATAGAAAGGTTGTTTCTGCTAGACCCTCGGCTCACCAATTTTAGGAAATTTGTACATAAAATACCTACTTTGATAAAAAGACAATGGGTTCACATGCACCAAATTTGGGCAGTAAAATCCGCCCAAGGTTGGAAGGTGGCAAAATCAATACATCTTGCACTGTCTACTTGTTATGTTCCAATTATATACATCAAAGCAACAAGAAGATAACCAACATGAAACTTTTAGCTTCTTTTTCACAGCTCTCTAGCACAAGTTCCCCAGGAAGATGCTAAGAGATATTCTCTCTTCTAGTTAGACTAAGAATTTATGATTATTAGTACCAATTTCCAGATACCGGTATGAACTTGGGATTTTACTCAGTTTCTTCGTGTTTGCAGGTTGATTATAAGGTGGATCAACCACGAGAGCTTTCTCACGATCAAATTTTGTAGTGTAAGAGAAACAAGAAACAAGAAACAAGAGTTGAGTCTACTCTGGCTGACTACTAGTCTACTACAGTATATAACATAACTAATTTGTAACACTATTATGATAGAACTAGTATTGATTCCTATATGATAGTTCCTCATAATCTTCTCTTAAGAGAACTGGTATTTGTTGAAGTGTGTCACCATCTCATCTAAAAGAGAACTTACACTTTTACAACTCTTTACTATTATATTCATAACTTGGTGAACTCGTCGTTTACTTTGTAAGTCACCATGTCCCTTATGCCTTGGGTGACATGTGCTACAATAGCCAGGATTAAGGGTGACTATCCTCCAAGGGTGAGCTAACCCCAAAACATGATCTCAGTTCGGATTGCAAGCTGCAATTCATCTGTATGAAGTCCAGAATCACTAGTAACCGTTAGTCAAACATACAACATGGCCTTGCACAAACAGCCTGCCATACTATTGGAGCTGGCTATAGAGACCATGATAACTGCAGGTTTTACCATACCAATAAGAGGTGGTACTAGTCTTAGCTTCCATCCTCCACCACCCTTGGAATACAGGACAATATTTCATCTCGACTTTCAACTGTTTTTTGAAAGGAAAAAGAACAGCTATATCGATACACTTTGTTTAGAATACAAATACAAATAATTGGAAGCAGAAGCAGAGGGCAGAAGAGCATTGCTCGCACAGCTAGAAGGATATCTGAATTAGAATTGCCTGTAGTTGTATCACTAATATTTTCAAGTAAAATGTAAGATTCGAGCAAAATCTTCCCCCAATAACGTATAGATAGCTTCTGAACAACGGGAAAGATCTTCCTTCGTTACAGCACTACTCATCGTATCCTGTTGAACGTCTTCATTAACTAATTATGGACAAAATCTGCAGTCACATTGATGTTAGTCAGGCAGTAACAAAGAGAAGGTTGAATTATAAGATTTATTATGCTTAACAAAATAGGATATAACATACCTTTTCACTGATTATGCGAAATTCTTCCTTTTCCATTGCCTTGTCAAGTTCCTGACAACATACCTTTGGTTTTAACAAAAAAGGTATCAGTATGAGCAAGAGACAACAGATATTTTGTTCCACCACAGAAAAATTACTACTTGTTTCCTTCAAAAGATTTCCACAATACACCTGTTATAATCATGCGTAGGATTTAATGATTCCTAACGATGAATTCTATCTCTTTCACTATCGGCATTTGGTATGGATATCACTTGGAGATAAAAATAACAATGAATAAGAAAGAACAATGGTTTTGGTTGTGTCACTCGTGTATCTACGTTCCATCTACAGTAGAAGAGAAGGTTCTATCAGAAAAAGTATTTATTTCAGTTATTTTCTATTAGCATTTCGACAAAATTAGACATATTGTCCTTTGACTTGATTTCCTACAGTAATAAATATTAGAGTTGCACATAATCGGATATTAAGTAGAGCTATGGTACTTACATTCTCTGCATCCAAAGAAGAATCCAAGTTGTATATGAGTTTTTGAAGCTCTTTGTTCCGTATAGCCTCAAGAATTTCTGAAGAAGAAGCTGCAGCGAAGCTATAAAATGTCATGGGGGAAAGAACGATTCAAGAAACAGAATATTAATTTGGCACATAATTGAGAAGTTCCTTCGATGATACAAAAAGTGCAATTTCTAGTATAATAAATAGGTACTTCTCTTGGGAGGATTGGCATAAATGTGCCTATCAACGGGCTGTAAATCTGATTAAAGAATTTTTTATAACAGTAGTGTCCTAGCTAGCTTGTGCTTGACTAATTTTACGAGGTATTTCTACCTCCCACCAGTACAAATACCAGATAACTAAAATCCACCAAGGCTTGGACAGATGAAAGGAATCACCTAGTTTTTTTTTTGCTACTGGGAATTAACCTAAGACGGCATGTTTCTCAACCTACTTTATTGACCACTATGCCACATCCTTAAGTTACAAAATGATAAGCAGCCCAAGCTTTGACAATAATTGTTAGCCGTGTCTTATCCTCCTATGATAAAATCACAGCTGTCTCATCAATGTGCCAAGCCGATCATTAAAAGTCGAGACTCCTCAGATAATTACACTAATCCCCTCTCCAAAACGGAGACATAGATTATGGATGTTAGGTTACATTAGAAAGCAAAATCAGTCTCTTATCAAGGTGAGGTTCTTAAGTGAAAACAATGGGTCAAACATAGATGCTGCCTCACCCCCGACTTCCATACATCCTGATTTCGTCCCTGGTCTAAATCTTCAAGACGTAGACTTGCTTCATATCAGGAAATCATATAATTTCAAAATGATTTAATGCAATGAAGCAACCTTGACTTTTGCATAAAATCATATCATAATCGCACTGGAAGCGAAATGAAGTCTGAATCATTCATGTTCTCACAACACAATTTTGCGACATACCTATAGACTCTAGTTGTGACTGATTGACCGCTTCGCCTGGCTCATCAACATAGATTGGCTTCTCCACATGCAATGCTGGAGCAGGAGCTGACAGAGATAGAGTGAGGCATGTTACTTTCTCAATATTAGCATATTATGCATATTAAATGAAAACAACAAATAGTGCCAAAATTGTACCAGCTGAATTCTCACTTTTCACGCAGACAAGTTGGAATCGAAGTGTAAATTGTTTACACAAGTCAGTTTTGATGGGAAACAATTGGCAAGAGGGCAAGTGACGATAGCTTGCATTTCATGCAAATACAAATATCTAGTGCTGTTTGGAGAAAATAACAAAACAGTGCCTGAATCTCTTTAGCTCATGGAACTCGACCACATTTACATTACGTCCAAAACCAGCAATTACAAACCCTATGCACAATCCACGAACCAAATAAGCGCCCTCCACTGACACCTCCACAATTGCTTCATCCCATCTACCCCAGCAACCTCCTCTTTTTGCAGCCATTAAACCAACAGCTTTTAAGAAATACCCAAATAGTGGATCTACTTTCTTGCATCCTTTTATAGATCTCTTAATTTATTTAAGGAAGATGTACAAGATACTGATAATAAATAGTTCAATAGCAAGATGTATAGTGCGGGACTATGATAGAAAATCTAACCCAATTGAGGATGCTACATTGAAGAAATTGTAAGTGGCACTAGTCTAATAACACAACAATTACAACTACACACATATAGCAGGTCTGATTTCCCTAGTAAAGAAGAGGAACCTTGGAACAACAGTAAAGTTGTTTCTATGTGACCTATACGTCATGGGTTTGAGTTGTGAAATTAACAATGATGCCCACATCAAGTTAGGGTGCCTACACTAAACCCTTTTGGTGCAGCCCTTCCTTGAACCCTACATGAATACGGGGTGCTTCATGCACTGGACTGCCCTTTTTTTTTCTTTTGGGTTTCTTCGGAAACTCATTTGTCAAAGAGAAGGCTGGTCAGGTATCAAAGGTATCACCACAAATGCAAATGGCTATTGAACATAATGCACCACCACCCACAAAAAGGATAGCTAAATGACAAACAAATGATACTAACAAAGACAATAAACTTAAACTACAGTTAATGAGAAAATATATATGCATATCATTCACATTCTCATTATGGTTATACAAAGATATAACAACGAAAAAAAGTTCCAACTTTTTATTAGAGAAGCCATCCTTACCAAGTTTTTCCTCAGAAACTGGTTCTGATTCGGGTTCCGGTTCTGGTTTCCCACATGGAATTTCTGCATAACCCACAAATAAGCTCATGAAAAGACCAATTTGTATACTATAAAATACAAAAACCACAAGTATAACGCATAAGAATAATTAGATTCACAGAATATGTTCATAAAGAACATACCTTTATGCTTCTTGAAACAAACCAAAGAACAACTGCAAGATCAAAACAACCAAAAAAGAGTACTTATAGGTTTATCAATACTCAAATCTCTAGTAACAAAACCCATAAATTACAACCCAATAAAAACTACTACTATTACACCCTCAATCCCAAACAAATTGAGTTCACTGTATTCACAGGCAATCCAATATTTAAGTTTTATGAGTTCAACCTTTAGCCATCGTTTGATAGCTAGTAAAGAGGCAACTTAGTTATACAACATTTGGTATTTGGTTAGAAAAGTAAGTTATTCATGTATAAAAGTTTGCAATTTAGAAACCCGCATAACTAATACATATATAATTTACAAAGAAATTTATGTATTATTTTATGCCAGGCATAAGATAGATAACTTACAAATGCATAATTCTAACCAGCTACCAAACGACACCTAAGGTTCTTTGCAACAAATTCATGTATAAAAGACTGCAATTTAGAAATCCGCATAGCTAATTCAAATATAAGATGAGAAAATTTATGTATTATTCTACGACTGACATAAGATAGATAACCGACAGTGGCATAACACTAACTAGCTATCAAACGACACCTAAGGTTCTTTACAATTAATTCATGTATAAAAGTCTGCAATTAAGAAATCCGAAGAAATTTATGTATTATTTTATGCCAGATATAAGATAGATAGCTAACAGCTACATAATTCTAACCCGCTAACGACACCTAAGGTTCTTATCAACAAATTCATATATATTTGCTACAATTATGTTGTTTTTCTACACATAAATTTATACTCTGAATTTTGTATGAATAATCTATATCCATTCCCCTTCCGTTTAAACTAAAAAAAAAAAAACTCAAAACGCAGAATTAAAATTCAAATAAATTTCAGAGATAAAAAAAAAGATGGAAATATTTACAAGGGGATGAAGCAATTGGGACACTTGTATTTCGACTGTGCTTCATCACATACTTGACATTTTTTCGATCCCATTTTTTCTTCTTCTTCTTCTTCTTTGTTATCGAGGTTTTAGGGGTTTTTTGGAAGAGATGGAATGTTAAATTGCAATATTGGTCCCTGAATTTAGAGTTTAGATTCAATCAGGTGCTAACAATTTTATCAAATAATACTTTGAGTCTGCTGAATTAATTATGGGCCTAAACTCGAATTCGGGTCTAAAACCTTTTAAAATATATACTTCTTCTTCACTTTGTTTTTAAACCATTTTCTCTTTCTGCTGAGTAGTGAGTACCTCTTTCCTCTAATACTAGTCATTTTTCGTAATAGGTATCAAGTAATTTTATTCAGTCATATAAAATGAATCCGCTAATAGGATAATTGTCACTTTTCATAAAAGAATTCGCTAGTATTTTTCAATTGATTCTACGGAATACTAGTCTCTTTCCGCAATAGATAGCAAGTAATTTTATCCCCTCATATGGGAAAAATCTGCTAATATTTTTCAGTTAATTCTACAAGATACTTGTCACTTTCTCCGATAGGTACTATCATGTCAATATTTTCAACCACTTGATTGACCATTAGTCCACGATACATCTCTTAGTTTTGGTTTCTCTCAGCCATAGCTTGCATTACTAAACCTTAATTTTACAATTGGTCCTTGTTTGGTATGGAAACCTAGGTTTCTAGCTAAAAAAATCTTTCTGTGGCACGTTGTTATTGTTGATTTTTTTGTTATGTGATTAATTTATTTCCAGTTACTTAGTATAAATTGATCGTCTCTCTGCCTGTTTAAGCTTTCCAACTATTTTGTTGATCGAATTTTTGCAGCTCAGATTGGGGAAAAAGTGAGACTGCTTCAACT